AGGTTTGTTTGTCAGTGGGAAAAAAAAGTATTCACAAGGTAACAATAAACCAGGTTTATATTGTGACCGGCGGACATTAAAGATTAAGGGTACAAGGATCAAATGAATTGATTCATCCGAAAGTACGCGTGACATGCTCGCTTTTCCTGATCGAGGGATTATGTTACGTGAAGGTTGTACACATGTCCCTTTTGCGTAATACATTAATGCACGAAAAAGGGCATATTAAGTTCAGAACATGGAATCAGCCAATTCGAATTGGCAAAGATGACGAGCTGTATTATGTCAGTTGCACAATATTCTACGATCTTTTGTCAAATCGATCTCAGAAATTGAGGCGATGCAAACTGAGATCCCGTATACATGGGAACGGCATCCGCCAGAAGTAAAGACTTGCGACTTGCACACAAATATGATTGTTCCTAAAAATAATTAGTAGCAATTTATACATAAACGGATAAAAATAAGATTTATTTCAATAAGTTATTGATAATACCGGGCATACTGGATGCTGTTCAATGAATTAGGTGGTTTACGTGCATACCGCTTAATGGATAGATAAATCTCGCACGTGACAAGCAAACCCTGGCGCGTTGAGTCTTGCGCCAAAATTTAGTTCTAAACAATTCAACACAATTCAACTTACTGTGTATGGTTGAAAGCGGTTGGGACATTTAACGTTTCATCGTCAAACGGCGACTCTCGATTGGCATTAGAATCCATATAGGCAGAAACCGATGTTACTGGTGCAGTACTTGCAATATTATAATATTAATGGTTGTTTAACGATTTTTTCCGGTTGGTCGTCGCAAAACAAAAATGTTCACCTATTATCATTTCGCGAATCACCGATTGGTAGAAAGGAGAAATTACATTGTTTTTGCATTTTACATTCTCATGTGCCCACCACAGTCTAATTTTACGAGACGCTTCCCGGGGTTTTGGCTTTTTCACATGTCGCTCTTGTGTAAATGCACGCGTGATTATTTGTCCCTTTTTATCCCTCGGTCCTCTCGTCATCATGTGTGTGTGAAGGATTGGTGCCCTATTGTTTTACGGATTTACACGTACCTTAATATGAGGTGCAGGATGATTCTTAAAATAGACCATCATTCTATTTATAGCAATTTGAAGTTTTTTTCTCTGATATCTTTCGTTATTTCGACAGCGCGAGTTTGTTCATCCACTTTTAAGTAAATCCCTTATTATACAGATAACATTTTGCTACATAAACAAACGTAGATGTGCCCATGATATAATGCAAATTTACCATTTATAACTTCGTTCTCACAACTTACACAACCACTGTATGTTTCAAACGTTATATCATCAGCAAAAAATAAAATAAGATAAGATAAATAATAATAATGTTAAAACAAATATCAGAGACATAGTGATCACTTTATTTGTCATAGATTCGAAATTTAATAATTTCAAAATTGCTGTATTGTTGGCATTTTTAATGAAACAAAAAAAAAAAAAAAAACATTTGCACATATCTATTTCGATAGTATCTATCATTTATGAACTAAGATCAGAATAAAAACAAGTTAGTAAAAGGAAATTAATATGTTTTTATGCAATTATCTGTTCAATTAGAAAAAAAAAATAAAAAAAAAATCATTTTTTAGGTTAGTCACATGTAATTGGTCTTAATAGAAAATCTTAAATATTAAGATGTTTACGAAAAAAAAAAATCACTACGCGGATCCAACTCCACATGGCAATGGGCTGCAAAAAAGTATTTTTTCAGACGTGAGGATCTCGGATGGGTAACAACAAATTGGCTTAGCGCTTGGTGGTAACTCATAAAAGTAAAAATCGATTGTCGAGAATCTCCGTAAATCAGCCCGTGTCGTGATGATGACGACTGATGAAGGTGCTATCCCCAACTCAATGATCAATCGAACGGGTGATATCCTACTTATCAAAAAAAAAAGGCTCTGCATCATTTAGCGAACAAAAGAAGTATCTTGCATGTATGACGTGAACTTTTATTCGTTCCGTGCTAACCAATTCAACCTAAAAATAGCACCAAAAATTAAATTCGGTATACGTGTGCTTGTGTAGATCAAAGCATGTGTATTTGGGATTCCCTTACCTCGGTTGATAAGTCAGCTGACTTTAACTTTATTATATAACAATACAACGACTGAAAGTGTGACACAGTTACATTACTTACATTACGTACATACATGTATATGCACGTCGCACATTGTAATAAATAAAATGATAATTATGTAGCGTCCGTTAAATAGGTCTTATATGTCATACCAAAATCTAGGAATGGATTAATAAAAATATGTTATCGCATATCTTGAATAGTATAATGTAGTATGTAGGAGGTAAGTTCGTACGCACATAAGTAACTACCGTACGATATCAATTATTAGGTTACCTGTATTCTGTATTCAACGTAAAGAAAGACCGAGATCACTTCTTTAATCGGATAATATATTTTGTAAGATAAATGGTCACACACAATAATTTCATGCCACACACACGCATATCGGTAATGCATGCCGGAGCAACCAAACAGTATAAAATGTAATGGTTTTTCTTTTTCGTCTTCAAAAAACGTTGCTTTTTTCCTTTTTCCTCCTTTTTTTTCCATCGTCCATCTTCAATCATATCATGGAAAAATAATCAAAAAGAAGTCGTAAACCTTACTTTATTGATCATCCCACTTGTTAAATTAAATTCTGAAACTCTTTTTAAAAAAAAAAAAAGAAGCCGCAAAAACCTTACTTTATTAATCATCCCACTTTATATTAAACTCTGAAAATATATATATACATGCAAACAAGCTACTCACTCCAATCTGTGCTAACTGATCAAAATTTTATCTCATTTTTGCCTACGTGAAAATTTCGTGAAGGAAAATAAAAGTAGAACAGAAAGTGCCTCTGTAAAACGCAATCTTGTAGCAGAAAATAATATTACCGGAGTGAAAGTGAATACGCTCATCTGTAAAGTATTTGTCATTTTTTTTAAAAACAAAAGTTAAACATGGCCGCGACCTATATCCCGTCATCCCCGACTCAATCCATATGTCTCTCTAGTGACAGTGAAGATGAATGTCCACAGAGAGAGTATAAAAACAAAAATAATCATCGCAAGTCAGTTCAGTTTTCAAGTCACCTAGTGGTGGTTCACGAAACCTGGTGCAATGATGAATATGATCGCACCTCCACGGAACCCGCACGTCTCTCCTATCAGGAATATTCCGATCTTCTTCAGCTGCGCTGTGATCTGCAAAGGGAAACGAATAAGATGATGAAAGCGGCAGCAGCGTTGCAAAATGCAAATAATCAAGACAATCACGCGATGTAGTTTCGTTTTCTCGCGATTCAGGATTCCCACTTTGCACGAGTCTTGTCATAAATAGACTGTATAGCAGAACGCATCAGTGGAACAATAGCCTTTATTATTGTTATTATCATTATCATTATTATTATTATTATTATTGCCTTTTCTTCAAACCCATTTCTTGTACAAAATTTTCACCTTTCCCATTTTTTACTCCACGCCATAGAATTCCATTAATTAATACGAGAATAGCTTCCTTTCATTCATCCTACGCATTAAACAATTTAGTAATTTATTGTTTATATGATTATACATATTAATCGTGTACAAACACAAAAAAAAATTTTTTTTTTCTCCCTCTCTCTCTCACACTCACGCTTCCCATTTTCCCCTTTCTTATTGCATAAATTTTCTTCGTTTCTGTATCCGGTTGTCTTTGTAATTATTTTTGTTTTTTCGTGTTATTTGTTGACAAGAAAAAAAAAATCTGTTTATCGTACCAAAATTCATAATTGAGTGAATGTTGCCTAATTTGGGATATCTGCAAAACTGACGTCCTGTTTCCCTACGGCGTTGTGGGGTTTCAACCAAAGGAGAAACGCGGGAAACACTGCCAAATCCGTATGAACTCCCAAAAAAAGGTTTCCCTAGCCTTGCTTGCCCAAATTGTACAAATTGCCATACGAATATGTAAACGCTTGGTGATGCCTTGATCACTTTTTTTATGTCGTTGTATGAACCATCAGATTCGTGAATAATGCGACTGATTGTGCGGATTCGCCGCAGTAAAATGTGATTCGGAATTAGAATTTTTTTTTTCCGAATGCTTCGAAAAGTCGAAAATTCATTTTAGCTCCGCTGACGTCGCTACGCCCAAGGAACCTTGATGTCATGGGGCTCTCCATTTCTCATTGTTGCCTTTCCACATCCAACGCCCGTGAACATTTATCGGAATGACATACGCGAACCACCGTACCATCTAAACGAAGCTAATCTCTCACATCAACTGTTGGGATTTCGGTCGTCTTTCTTCGGCTCGTCACATGTCGCGCACGCATGATTTGAGAGATGTTCCAAAATGTTACCCAAATTTGTATGCACCATACACAAAATACCATCCAAATTTGTTACACGACATGCAAAAAAAAAAAAAAAATTGATATATTTAGGTAATTTATCCACCCTTTTTATCGATTTCATTCAATGATTCAATGTTTTTTTTAAAAAAATTATTTTCATATTAAATAAAAAAAACTCATTTTTTGATGAATACAAAATATAATTACATTTGATTTATCATTATCTATTATTATCATTGTTATTTTCAATGAACGAATATTCCGTTGGAAAATATATCTACCGCGCGTGCAATAATAACACACCTTCTTTTTTTAATTTGTCCAAATTTATTTGTTATTCTGATTTTGATGATGTTGAATGTTTTGGAAATGGCGTTGTGATCGCAATTGCTTATTGACTTGCCATAGTGACTACTTCTTGGCGTCGTTCTTTGTTTGACACATCGACATGATGGATGGATTGAGAATTTTCGATTTTCTATTGTTGTCTCGATCCATGACTTTGTATTTGTGCTATGACCATATGATCAATATACTGCGAATTACGCAGAACTGAATGACTTCCGAAGATAATGTTTATCTTTGATCAACTGACACACACGCACGCATTTGCTATATGTGGTCAAACAAATTCATATCGATGGTACTTGGGTCAAAGTTAAGCTTTAACTTGGGTGCGTTCGATTCCCCACCAGAACTCTTTTCGGTTCTTGCTACTTTTTTGCGTGCATCGCTTGCGACATCATCCCCATCCGTATCTCCAAACCCATCAGATTGTGATGCCTCAAGTCGATCCTCAACTCGGCGTTTCTTGAACGTGCCTTTCTCGCGAAGGACTTGTTTTCGTTTTTTATACACCTTATTTTTGGTATTGTTATGTTCGCTTTGATCGCCTGAACTTTCTTGATCTTCCCATGAATTCTTTGCCATTTCAATCTATTGATTTATTGATTTATTAGAATCTTAACGTATATCAAATAAATAAACACTCTAAACCATGATTTAACTAATTATGGATTACCTCATTTTCGGTCCGCATATACTCCTCTAATTCTTCATCATCCAGGGGTACATCGGAAACATCCGATCTATGTTCTTCGCTTGTAACACGTTCCTTACTGTAGGTTTTCTCCGGAGATCTACTTTCACCTCCGTGATCAACTTGACCTGTGCTTATTGTCTCATCATGCTCAGCACCCGTGTCAGTACCCGTGTCCCTATCTATCACTGCACGTCTCTTTTGTTTTCCCTTTTCGCGACAGTCTGAAACCCATGCATGGAATTGCACCAGATCAACTAGGTACAAATAGCTTCTGCTCTTATTTTCTTGTGCCAGAAAACTCCAAGGGAGATTGATGACCTTGGAATGTATCAAGTCTATCAACTCTTTGTATCTGTCAATCATTATTAAATGTGAATCTACTTGAAACATTCTGCTGACAATA